TTTCAATGACGGAATAGGGATTTTCTTCTGTCCACAAATGATTAAAAAATTAATCAAATTCTGAATGGCATTTCGCGAAAAATTAGCTTCGTCCGTGGACAGAATCATTGATTCAAATTGCGGGTTTTGTGTAATTTTTTGAAGACACCCCTGACAAAAGGTCACACGCCTTGGAAAATCAATGGGAAGTAATCCCTGTATTCTTAAAATATGGTTAGAATATAACAAAACATCCACTAAAATTCTCCAAACAATTTGATGGCAAATATTTAAGTGTCTAGTGATCTTCCTCGTACTCGTTTCGGGATGTTGTTCGACTTTGTGCAGCACTGCTTCCTCAATTTCAGGTGTTCTCACATTTAGAAGTCTACCTTCAGATGTTCCTTTTCGTACAGAACCAGTTTCAACAAGACGACGATGACTATTAGGAAAGGTTCGACTATCTGGCAAAGCACGATCGAGATATCTCTGGTGATAAATCCGTCTGGCTTGCTCACCATTACCGTCGGCAAGGCCATATACGTAATAAATAATGAAAAAGATGTCACAGCTAACAGATTTAAATAATAGAGACTTGTCAGATATCAAAGGCCAGTGACATATTGCAGATCAACTAGATATTTATTACTAAATTGCATTCTTCAATTATTACATTAATTTTCTCAGAAAATAGAACGGTTTTTATTTTTTTACTCAAAAATTGCGCACTGAAGGAAAACAGTTCAAGAGAGATCATTTATTTTAAATTGAACGGGGAATTCAAAAATACTTTTTATTTGTCAAAAAGCCGTTGGCGTACCATTTTATTCTTAAAAAAAATCGCAGTCAATACCTATATGCACGCCACTGTTAAAGCTAAAAATTATTTTTGCATTGAAAAATATGCAGCTTTATTAACTTTCACTACGCACTAAATATCAGTGAAATATCTGAAGCGGTTCTGAAAATATTAATTTCCATTTTTTTCCTAAAACTTGAACACCCCGAGTTCTTGTAAGGATACATTTTTGGACCATAGTTTATAAAGCAAACTAAAACTAATATTTCATGTAGATTCACACCCTTAAATATTCGCATATCATTAAGGAACACCCTGCATATATGTATGTATATACGTGCTACTCTAGACTATGATCTACATCTGTACCAAATTCCTTCTAGATCCATTTAGGCGTTTTGGCGAGACTGAGTAGCAAACATCCTCACTTCCTCATTTATAATATTAGTAGGGACTACGATCATAGCAACAAAGGAAGAGGTTTCATAGCTATTGAGAATTAGTCCACTAGCGGCCGAGTAATGAAAATACTTGCATTCTACATTCACTACCATCACTGATTAACATATTCCACTAGAAGATATTTAATCCATTGAAATAAGTTTCTACGTGAAAACAAGCATGTATGCCACGGTACCGTCAACCAATCGTGCTTATAACCATAATTTTATCAACCATCGTCATCAAGTGTTAGCGTTGCCGCTTTTTGAGCGGTCGCCGCAGGCTATGAGATTCCGTTTTTTTGTTGGAATTTCACCACTTCAGAAATATGCAATGCTATATACGACGCGATCTGCCCTACAGGGTCAGCGAGCATGTCCTCATATGAAGATAGATAAAAATTCCCACGATTACATTCATATCCTTTGGCGCGAGTAAATTCCCAGACTGGCTACTTAAGTGAGGATATTTTGAACACACAGAAAAATCTACTTCAGAAAGCACTAGCAGAGTAAGTTGAGGTTTTCTACTGATAAAACATCTATTTCATAATCCATTTCGAAATTTTCTTGATACTTTGAAATAATAGGCAGACACTCAGGCTGTACACAAAGGAACATGAATAAATAGACGAACGAGCGGCGGTATTTTTATGCAAATGGAAAACGGAATAATGTGAATCCCAGTAGATTTTTTATCCATACCCGAACGTATATCCATTAAAAAATATCCTCATCCGAATATATACATTTGAGTATTTAAAACAAACATAAGCGATATTTTCCGTCGACTTTCTGATTCCTACACGATTCATTGCACACCCATATTTCAACCTGAATAAACGGACAAATCCAGGCGCGGTAGAAGGAGAAATCAGCAATGTCAAATTCTGTAGTAGAGTGGAAAACCTGCTGGAAAACTCCACCGCTTCTCGCATATTATCCACCTGTTTTCATTTCTGGCTGATATTCGACGTATGTATAAGATATTCTGACAGTTTTGTTTTCCCATTCGAAGAAACAAGTCTGCTTTTAGCAGTTGCTATATTTCGTTACACGTAGTCCAATTTCTACAATATTCACATGACTCCCTATTGATGAAGGTTTTATCGTATTTTCTATATAATTGACTTTTTTATACCGAAGCAGCCGTCAAGGCAGAGCTTGCATGTCAAGTAATATGACTGCTAGAAGCAAAGCATGGAAATGTTGATTCGAGTTTAGAACTGTTTAGCAGTCAATGTAACTGGTACAATCTTGATACCTTAGGAACAAAGAAGCTACTAATTCGCATACTTACACTGAGGTTGAAAATAAACGCAACAAGCAAAATTTTGATCTAATTCGGAACGTCTTAACTTTTTCACTTTTACTTAGATTTTATTGATTTCCGGCAGGCGGTAAGTACAATCATTGTCGTTAATTTGTAGAGCAGATATCGGTTCTTGATTGTAGCCACGGTTTGACTTTTTGTACAGTGTAAGTCAAGATGATGTTTCATTGTTCCAACTTTGAGTTACTTTGTGGTGTAAATCCAGTTGTCAATCAGACCGCAATGCTTCCCATTATCAAAAACCGCACTTTCTCTATAATGTCTTTTTTTAATTACGTCTAAATATACGGTTGTTGTATTCCTCAGCATTAAATAATCATTTCTTGTCATCGCCTTGCTTTCTAAAATGGCATAAATACCTCCCGTGGATGGTTGGGACATTTCATAAGAAGTCCACACCGGTTTGAATAGTAAAATTTCCTCCAAACTAGCTCATCTATCCCAGCACCTTTACGAGTTATACATTAAACAGCTATACATTGTACGAGTATGTAACATGCTAGACCATAATTGGCAGTTGTTTGACGGCCAGTAACACCATGCAATGATGTTCACAGCCTGTTATGTTTTCATCAATATTGCCCGACTTAGCTGGGCATTTACGCCATTGCCCGGCCATTAGGTTCAATGTCCGGTTTATCCGCATTGCTTGTAACATACAGTCCTACTTAATGATAGGCAATAACTGCAAGAGCGTATTCTTGTAATAAATTTAATAGAAAAGTTAGTATAAGCCTAAAATGTGTGGTTTCTAAGATAAAGGATACCAAGCTCGAAAAAAAAACTTTTCTCATTATTATCTCAAATATCCTTGTTGAATTTTATTTCTTGCTATAGGTCGCTGACTCAGCATTAACTTGAAGCTAATTATGAATGCCAGTAGCGCTTTGGGGGACAGTCTAATGAATGATCTTGAGAAAAAGATGTGCGGACTATCTTCGAATTAGGCAGCTAATTGTACAATGTTCTCTTGGTATCTCTTCTTGTCTTACTTAGTTTTAGAGAAAATAAATGTATTTTATTATACAGGGTTGAGTCATTAATTTTCATAATGATTGTAGAAGGAAGATAAACCAAAATATGTGTGTAAAAATAAAAAAATTTACCTTGTTTTATAAAGTATCCTCCCGACAAGTATTTCAGTGCGGACCTGTATTTGATCGTGAGGTCTTGGAGCACCGGCATGCCGTCCCCTGTGAGGTCTTAAGTCACCTGATTCACGAGCCCGTTGTACTACATTAACAAAGGCACGAGGGGTTGGTTGCACTCGATTGGGAAACCGATCCGTATAAACATGTACCATTTTTTATTTCGTTTGAGCCACGCAACAGACACCACTATTCACTCAAGCGTTACCGACTGACACTGACTGTATGCAACTGAATAAAATAATTGTAAAAACGTCGTTCCAAATTCTTTCGCTTTTTTGTTTCCGATGCGATGAACCGATAAGGCGGATTATATCCGTTGTTGCCAAACACGAGCACATAATATTATTATTGAGACAGGGCGGTACTCAAACTTCCAAAGGGCTATAACTTTGTTACTTTAATTTTACCAGAAAAATGGTAAAGGAAAAAAACAAGTATTTTGATCAGATCTACTCACTGTTAAAATAAATGACTCAACTTCGAAGTATGTCGAAAAATAAGGTCAATTACATTTGACCGGTGGTGCACTCATTTCTACGCTACTCTTTAAAACCTAATGAAATAAAATTAAGAACAATAATAAATATATATAAACATGCTGCTTCTATTCTATTCGTTTTAAAAACATATGTGTGTTACCAACTTATTAAATTTGCAACATTTGGGTTTGTCTAGGTATTTTACTGTAACCATCTCGCTGGCTTTTGCACGAATACATTCAGAACTACGCGGCTTAGTGGATAAATCAATCAATGAAAACGATCTGATAACATTCGCGAAGTATCGATAGCATCATAAAGGCACTTAGTGTCGAATCGGAATTTTTCGTTGTTGGTGTAGGAAGGCGTAAATTTTGGTCTTCCGTATCCGACTAAATTAAAATACCGTTCATTTTTATAAATTTTCTGTGGTTTTTTCTTGCAGGTCCCATGGAACCAGCGCGGCCCCTGTCGACAAAAATCTAGTAATATTCTTTCGTAGCGCCGCTGGTCCCTTGACGTTAGTTTGAGCGGCAATAACGTTCGGCAAAGTTATAGGTTATACTTGCTTTTTGTACCACTTGTTGCTTGCTGACTTCTTTTTTAGTGGTTTTAGTAGATAGAGTATTTTTGCGATAAGGTAAGGGGTAATACAGTTTTTTGTATACTGTGAATTTGTGATACTATTTTAGATGTGTGATAGACTCATGACGCAAAAAGAGTTAGAACACGATTTGGTATTCCGATTCAGACGAGTCATTCATAGAACTTTTTCTAGGCTCTAACAGTGATTCATATCAACCATCGGATTCTTCAGACATGGACTCGGACGATGATTTTGGTGAATTATTGAGAGCAAGTAAAAGGAAACAAAGGTTACGGATTCCATCATGTAATGAAGCCAGCATGAGTCGAGCACCTGCATCTCTAACACAAACTAACCAAAACGAACCTGAAGCTGAAAGTTTGGGGAAGCCTGCTTCATCGGAAATGCCGGCGCCGGTGCCTACTGTTTCAACATATGGTGAGGGATGGGGGCCAATCTCAAGAATTTACAAAGCCATTCCAACCTATACCCAGTCATCTGGAATAAAGCCAGAAGTTGCCGCTTTACTAGCAAATGCAAGTCTAGGACAATTCTATGAAGCTGTTGTAGACGATTCGATTTTCTCATATATTGCGGATGAAACAAATCATTATTCTAATAGACTCTTGCTTGAAACGGGTGTAAGTGACAATTCCCGCTACCATAATTGGGTAGCAACAAATAAAACAGAAATAAAACATTTCTTAGGGCTAGTGGCCTGGATGGGAATGGTCAAAGCACCTACATTGGCTGATTACTGGTCAACGGATCCATTATTCAACTTTAGTTTTCCTCGTTCTGTATTCAGCCGTAATCGATTTGAAATTTTGCTTCGAACAATTCATTTTGCAGACAACAATCAAGCTATCGCTGGTGATAAACTTGCTGAAATAAAGCCTTTGCTAGACAAACCCCTGAAGAATTATAAAGATCTTTATACTCCTGAAGAATATGTATGTGTTGATGAGACGATGTTGCCTTCCTCTGAAGATTGTCTATAAAACAATACATAAAATCGAAAAGACACAAGTATGGTATCAAAATGTTTAAGTTGTATTCAGGAACAGGCTACACATATAAACTCAAAATTTATGCAGGCAAAGAAAATGACGAACGAATAACTCCAGGAGGTATTGTAACATTTCTTACCCAAGATATTATAGGTGTCGGCAGAACCTTAGTAACAGACAACTGGTATACGAGTTTACCTTTAGCTAAAAGGATGCTTGATTCTAGTACACACCTCATTGGCACGATACGCAAAAACCGCCAGGGGCTACCAAAGGAAGTTGTAGACAAAAAGCTTAAAAAAGGAGAAGTTACGGCCATGGAGAACAAAGATGAGATAATATTACTGAAGTGGAAAGACCAAAGGGATGTGCTGGTACTGTCTACAAAGCATGATGCTGAAATGGTAGAGAGAAATAACACCAGAATACCTAAAGTCGTCGTCGATTACAATAGAGGAAAAAGTTCTGTGGATCTCTCTGATCAAATGGGATCGTATTCTAATCCTCTTCGAAGATCTGTCAAATGGTGTCGCAAAATTGCATTTGAGCTTTTGCTTACAACTTCCATGGTAAATGCTTTTATATTATAAAGTCATAAGATATCTTATAAATACTACTAACAATGAGAACATTGACCATGAACTACCGGTAGAAAGACGACGACACCATTCTCTAAAACGAAAAGATGGCGAAAATGAGCATAAAACAAGAAGATGTTGCAAGCATCGTTATAAAAAAAATAACGAGCTTCATGGTAGGAAATATGCTACCAATCGTATACTCAAAGTAGACACCTACTGCGAGGATTGTGAGGGCAAACCATTTTTATGTCTGAATTGTTTCAATGAAATAGATCAAGAGTAGTCAGACTTAGCTCAATATTTGTCCAGTTTTTATATTTCACTTATTTTATACAGTGCTTTGTAAGTTATTTTAGTTTAAAATACATACTTTGTCAATATCGATTCGTAGTATTTTCTAATGGGACCACAAGCTAAAAAAAATAAAAAATTAAAAACCATGCTTATATATTATCTTCTATGAGGCCGCGCTGGTCCCTAAACAGCCAGCGGCTCCATACCCAGGTGAAAGTCTGCTGGTTCCATAGGACCAGCGCGGCTCTAGGCAAGTCATTAAAACTAGTCCCATGGGACCAGCGTGGCAGTCAACGTGCTAATGTGTGGGCTGGAATAATTGGTAACGAATTAATTGGACCATTTTTTTTGCCACATTGCTTGAACGGTGAGAGCTACTTAGCTTTTCTAAGAGACAATTTGCCCGTTTTGTTGGCAGAAGTTTCATTGCAAACAAGAATGAATATGTGGTACTTGCACGATAGTGCTCCAGCACACGTTAGTCGAGTAGTTGTGGAACATCTCCATAATACCTATAGGAAAGGTGGATGGGAAGAAATGGTCCAAATACTTGGCCGGCTAGAACCCCCGATCTTAATCCATTAGATATTTTCTTCTGGGGATTCATGAAAAATTTAGTTTACGCCTCTGAAATAAGGGATGAGAATGATTCAAGGGAGCGTATTTCGGCCGCCTCTAATGAAATACGTAATATGACTGGAATTTTTCAACGAGTTGAAGAAAATTGAGTTCGATGGTGCCAAGCTTGCGCAGATGCCCATGGTTCCAATTTTGAACATCTATTGTGATTACTAATATATTTAACTGTAACTTTATGCGATTCACGGTTATTGTTTTTTTTTCTTTTTTCGTGCATCGCATCGTTTCAAATAAGTGACTGATAACCGTGAGAATTGGTGGTGTATATCGCCACGTACCGGCAAGTTCTGTCATTTTTTTAAGTAAATGAACTGTACTGAAAGCGTTATTAAATAAAAAATATTATTCGCAAAAATTGCTTGAATGTATTCAATAATTTAAGATATATTTTCAGCAAAAATATCATACAAGCATAAACAATTCGATGAATCAGTTGCGATTGTCGTGCGCTCGTATGGCGGTTGCGTTGCAGCGTTGCCAAGTGTTTGAGAAAATTTGATTATTTAAGACTCACTTTCCTCGAAAACGATTGATTTTCGGACATAAGCTATAACGAACTTTTTTGCTTAGAATAATGCAAGGAATCACCTCTTGAAGTTACAAATATTATTTTTCTAACACCCTGTATATTACTATGAACGTTTCCTTATTGTTGCATGACCTATATTCTCTTTAGATGCTTGCCCCAAGTTTAAGGATACCTTTATACCTATTTTAATTATACTAGATTTGGAAACTATGGATCGTAGAATTTAATAATCCTGTTTTCCAAATATTTATAACACTACTAAGCATAAAACAGAAGCGTTGACTGGCGTGCAAAAAATACAGACGGAAAGGTAACAACCTGGGGGATTAGTGTTACATACTCATTAGGCGTACGATATATCCCGCATTTTGCAGTTGCACATGGGGCAAAATGTGGAACAATTCTTCGTACTAATTTATCTTTAATTTGCCGCTAGTGCGCGGTGTTAGGCGTAATTTGTGTCATTACAAAAGTGTCGGTAACAATTAAAACCTAAAAAGGTTTACTAAACCGTGGTCCCTAATTTGTATGTATGAAAACGCCCAGTCCCGGGAATTAAAATTAAAATTGCTAGACGTAAAATGCAAATTGAAATATAATTAGTTCGCACTATGCACCGCGTTGCATTGCTACTAATTGTGGAGTAATGAGACGCGATATCGAAACTCCTTGTCCAGGCAAGGCAAGTAGGTCTACATAATTATACCTCTTTGAACTTTCTCCTCATGGATTCTCATACTGATAGAACACCTGGGAAGTTGCAAGGTATATACATTCTGTTGGCAATTTCTACACAAAAACCTCTCTTATTATAGGTACCAGATAAAACTGGCAAACCAGAGCTGCTACTTGCATATAAATAGATATTATTCGTCACCTCGGTTGAAGACATCGTTGGTTGTCAGAGCGGTCCGTGGGACCTTAGCTCTTGAGTCACAGTGTCAGTTTGTAAGTCTGTCAGGTCTGGTAACCCAGAAACCAGACAATTTTAAGGAAAAAAGGGGAAGGAAAGGAGAGAAGGAAGAACGAGAGCAAAGGGGAAGAAGAGAATCTTTTAGGATATGCAGCGTTTAGGCATTGTTAGAATCGCTTCACAGATTTTGATATGGTCTAAAGGTATTTGATTTTTTTTCTAAAGATTGTGTAAAAATGGTCAAATTTTGGTTGTTCTAAGTTCACGAGTTAATTTTGATTACAGTGCGAGCCGCGGCCTTTTGTGCTTGCGAACTTGCTCGACTGTGTAGTCCACTGAATCACGCAACAGAGGGCTGCTGTGCGATTCCGCTAGGCTAGAGCGCCGCTGCGCCTGTTGCTTAATGTAGTCCTTTAGGTAAGGGACATCGAGGTCTCTATGTAGAGTTTCGTTAGAGACATACCATGGGGCATAAAGGTGATAAAGGCTGAAGAACTGCTCCTTTCACCAGTTCTTTTTGCTAGTCGGTCAGTGGTACTACTCTTGTCAAGAAAATATGTCACCTTGATTTAGATATTTTTCAAGACGGCAATATTCCCATCATCGATTGCTGCGGTCGGTAAAACGACTAACTCTCTTGCTTTTCAATGCAGCTACCAGGCGTTGCACGGAAGCAAACATAGAAATGAAAAAAACAGGGATAAATATGAACATTACTGGCAATGGAGTGCTTTCTGTTTCTGAAAATAGCACGCGTTTCCTCAATGCTATGAGCACAAAGGAATAAAGGACATAATGCGTGATGTGGTACAAAGGAATTTCCAGAGAATTCAAGCTAAACTGAAAATGGCAAGCCGGCGAGCGGCGGTAGGAGCTTTGAAGCCTCTTTCGTCTCTGTGCTGGAACAAGGGACAATATACTAAGGATATAAACACAGGATAGCGGGGAGCGGAATGTTAAAAGAGACATTTATGTGGTAGCTGCCGAGGAAAGGGTAGAGTACATATGGAGGGATTGATTTATTTATATCTTCAATTATTTTCAGCACGTTTCATTCTTGTAGATATATGAGAGATATGTTGCTGTAGACAGTGTCCAATATCAGGATACTATAGTATTAGGATCTAGGAGAAAAATTAATCAAAATCCTTCCATGTGCACTTCACATAATCTAGATATTTTTTGCTGTAAATATTTTTATGTACCACAAATATGGAGCTAGTTCCGCACGAGTTGCAAGTGATACATGAATTAATATGCTAGCGTTATGTATCTCAAACTATTTGGCAAAAGAGAATGTCCACACAAGTAGCGCAGACAGTATTTATATTTACACGGATAATTGGCAACTAAGGGTGAGTCAATCAACATATACTAGGCCTTCCGTGGATTCTGGATAAGTTTGGATGAGACCTCATATGGTATATGGTATACCATCTGGAAAAAAGAGCTGCTGATCAGGGTCCACAAAAGGTCATGTCGACCCTTAAAATAAATCAAACTTTGAGTTAAATATTAATGATAAGATTTATTTGTCTCAAAGAAATAATACATTTCTGACACATAAAACACATTTTGAGGTACAAATAAATCCAGAACCCGCAGAAGTATAAGTCTTGTGAGCGGGTGCATCACTTAAAAGTACTTACATAATAGGATTTTATAAAAAGTTTCAAACTGAAAATACTACATAGACACCCTCTCCCAACCCCTACTATGGCTTACCTCATACAACTCTTCATTATAGATCATTTACCCGTAAAATTTTTTTTCAAAATGATCAAAACACTCTGAAACGAAAAAACGAAGTTTGAGCGATATCTCTTATTTCGCTTTTGACATTTGTCGCTACCACCTCTGCACTGATTTTCATAAACTACAGAGCTTTTTCGTCCCATAGAAGTAACCTTGTGTGCAAAGTTCACCTAAATCCGAGCAGTACTTTCTAAGTTATAGATGGGACAGAGATTAGAGGATAGACAGAGGGGTATACCGACAGCAGCAGCTTTTGCGTTAACGCACATCTTTTTCAAATTAGTGACCTCATCGTATCTGAAGCCTCCTAAGAATTCCTGGGCTTTATTTTTTCACTATTTTCCTAAAAAAACGTATCATGCTCATAGAAAACATATAAACTCGACAGTATTGCCCTGCCGGTCCTTTCTGCCCGAAGTGTGAGATTCTCCAGAAATGGCATACTCACCAAAATCCCTCAGTTCATTTCTTCATAGTGGGCAGCGCTGCGCTACGTTTTCATACCAAATGTACTAGTCTCTTGTATACATTCATATCTTCATACCTATGTACACGTAGAATCGAACTAAATAGAAACCTACTATTGGTTTCTTGGTCTTCTTTGGTCTCCACTACCTTACCAGCATCATTCGCCTCACTGTTGCTGAATAGTAACCCATTTTTCATCGCGTATGTACATGGCAAAATTATCAGCAGTGAGCCTCTCGGCTAACATCAGTTCCAGCTGGGCCTGTAAGTAAACCCACTTACAACATTCGAGTAGGTCATTAGGAGTATCTTCCTATTCATTGCAATTCGCGTAATATCTCTTTAATACCATCGTCAGGTAGCTGTCAAAACAACGATGTCCTGTGAGGAACTGTGCAGTATGGTTATCTA